TGCAGCCAGTTTTAACACTGCACTAGAGCTAGTCTGGAGAGTTTTACTCCCTACTGATGAGCTCTTTGGTTTTGATACAGACCACAAGCACCAAGAGGGTTTTCTGGCAATGCTGCTCTGAAGACATCTGGCTGCCCTGAACTGCAAAGCCAAATGAAAAATAGCCTGGCCTGTCTGTGAAGAACAAAGGCAAACCTGGCTGAAAATACTCTCTTTCTGCTTGGTTTCTTTCCACAGGAGGTACTAGGTCTTCCTGTGTCTCTCCCTGCCAGAGACCACTGTGAAATTTTAGGACAAGAGGCCCCAGGATGCCACAGGAGACTGGATTTAGCCAGACTCCATGCTGAGGAGTATTTCCATTTGGGAAAGGAGGAGAAACCTGAGAAAAGAGCAGCTCTTTTCTACCAACTGCCTGTCTTCAGCGTTACTTAGTGAGGCTGTGGACAACTTGACAATGTGCTGTGCCACGAGGGAGAATGGAGGAGATGGAAGTGCTATTAATATTTCTTCTCCTGAAAGTGCTGAACCAACTACAACTCCGTGCTGAGTGGAGACAAATGGAGCAACATTCCTTCTGGCTCTGCAGCTGCTTCCAGTGCTTTTCTGCAGTCGCCAGCTGGTGCAGCTGTGCAAACGGGCTGGGGCTGCTCCCACGCCTCAAAGCTGACTGCACCCCTACCCAGCACTCCTGGGGTCAGGTCCTGGGCTGACCTGACTCCTGCTTGAGTTCTCCCTGAAGACACCAGCAGCCAGTGTTGGGGGCCAGCAGCAACTCCTCCAGGCACTCACCTGCAGCAGGTCACGGAATTTGTTGGAGACAGCAGCCATGTCTGACAGGCAGCTCTCAATCTTGGCCTGTGCCTGCTCACCCCCAAAGCCTTGGCTGAGCAGTTTGCTGCAATCACTCTGCAGGGAAGAGATCCGTGAGCAAGTTGCAAATTAATAACCTGGGCAGTTTCTATCCCCTCGTGTTGCTGAGCTCTGGCTGCCCACCAGCCCGTGGGCTAGGACAGCTCCTGCCCCTGCAAAGGCACAGGCAGCTGGATCCAGCTGGGGAGAGAGAGGGAGAGCAAGAAAGGCAGCCAGAGGCTGTCTAGCCCAGCACCAGAGAACCACAGCCTCTCCATGATGTGCATTTTATTCCTGCACCAGGTTGGTCAGGCTGGAGGAAATGGTATTTCCAGCTACTGCCATCAGCTGGAAATTGCTCTGCCAGCTCAGTATTGCTTTCCTAAGGCTGGAGGGCAAAGGCCTCAGGAATTTGGGCATATCAAAGTCCAGATGGTTTACCTGACCCCCACCAAGGGAGGATATTACAAATTTGATTTAGGAAAAAAAACAGTGAAGAACACAGACCGCACCTCCAACGTCTTCTTTAGGGTCATGATGTTTTCACTGCAGACTTCCACGTTGTTTAAGGTCACCTGGGGAAAAAAATCAAAGCAAACCCAAGTAGAATCCATTGGAATTTCTCAGCACCTCAGCCTCAAATCCATATGTTTACTCCATGCCCTGCCAACAGTACAGGCTGAAATGTAAATATTTAAGGGACAGAGTTGCTACTGTGAGATCCGAGCGTTGAAGGTTCACCGAGCTGCATGAAGCCAAACTACAGAACCTGCAGCTAGCACAGAGTTTGAGACAGTTTATGCCTTTTTCTCATCATTCTGTCCACGATGCTGCAGTAAAGCCTGACTTGTGGGTGACTGGTGGAAGCCATGGTGTACCCCCAGCTTAATGTGTCATGAAGAACAGAGCCAGAGCGGCTGAGGGCAATGGTGTATACACTGTGTCTGAAGCAGGAGGGGAGGCAGGAAAGCACAGGTAACTATGCAGGAATCAGCAGCCCTCCTGCCAGGTAAGTGTCTGTTCTCCCCTGAACAGACTGTTCTCTACCTGCTGAAGCTGAACTAAATGTCAGTATAAGGCTGGGCTTTGTGCAGACAGGGAAATGAGGCAAGGTGACAGATGAATGAGGAAATTCAGTGGGAGAACTGACATTCTGAGCCCTTTGCTTCAAGAAATGCAGACACCTGAAACCAAGAATTCAATGAAATGGAAGAGTTCAGTCCCTCCTGCTCCTTTTGTTGCCTTCTCTCTTTGTACACTGAAAGTTCCAAGGAATCTCTTCAGTGCTGACTGTTCACAGCAACTTACAGAGAGGGAGACGAGCCAAGGTGAGCCAGCCCCTCTCCAGTGCTCTCAGTCCCTGCCCACAGGTCTGCTCAAACCCTGAGAGGGCAGACCCAGAGATGTTCTCCCAGTGAGGTCTTTTCCACAAGGCAAGGCCTATACAGCATCCCACCATGGGGAAGGATGTGTTAAGCTGCAGAAGGCAGGAGTGATGGCCCTTCAGACGCTCTCTGAGGGATCTCTAATGCTCCCTGCCACGTTCTGGCCTGCTCAAGCACACAGGGAGCTGCAGTACTGCTGTTAGAAGGCAACAGGAGGATCTTGCAGGCCCAGTAGAGCAAAAAACCCTGCTCTAATGGAAACTCTCCAACATGCTAAGTGAAAGTGCAGGAGCCCTGAGCTTGGGCGAGGAAACCTTTTTATCTGGAGGAACGTGTGGATGAGATGCTCCCCCACCACCTTTGTGCAGAGCCTGTGAAGAACAGGATTGATGGACACCTCTAAAGAGCTCAGATTCTTCCCCAGCCCAGAAGGAACCATCACTGCAGCAGCCCAAGAGACACTCATGGTATCACACTTGTGACTTGGTGTGGAAGCCCTACAAACATGAGGTGAGGTAGAAGCATCTACCAACATCCAAAGTCAGGCCACCCACCATACCTGAACAGGTTTTCAGATTCTCTGGACACCATAGTCACATCAGTGCTGTTCCCAAGAGCTCCCCATTGCCTTTCCCTCCACCCCAACTCATTCCACACCAGAACAGCCACCAAACCCACCAGAAAGGATTGCTTGGCCTCGTCGGTGCTTTCAATGCCTTTGGTGTCAAACTTGCCCTGCTGGAGGCTGCTGTGCATGATGTTCACAGCACTGGTCACCCCTCTCTGGAAGTCCTGGAAGGTCGTGGCTGGAAAGCCCTGCTTCAGCTTGTTGTACAGAACCTCCCTATGGGCAAGCAGAACATACCAGGGCTTAGAGCAAATAACTGCAGGCGACAACAGAACTGTGCTCTGTGACAGGGGACGGTGTTCTGTCTGAGCTGGGACCTGGACAAGGTAAGTGGGACTTCACAGGGACAAAAGAGGGCTGGCAAATATCTCCTGCCAGCATCTAAAGGCAGAAAGAAAAACGTAACCACTTTATTCTGAGCTTTCCCAAATATCCTGCCTGTAGATGCTTGCTGTCTTCAGTCAGTTCCCCACTCCCATGTTGGGATGAAAAACAGCAGGACAATTTCTGCAGGCTCACCCGAAGTTTGAGTCACTAAGGAACCCAGAGAACACTAGGGGTGGTCATGTACCATCAAGCAGAGTAGCACCCCAATGCTATGTGGTGACTCGGTCTCCTAGGGATTTTGGGCCATGAGATTCCTTTTTCTGTTTGTCCTACAGGTGATCATCACTACTGTGAGAAAAGATGCCCAGCTCCAGCTTCCCACAGGCCACCTGCCACTGCTTCCTGCAAGCATGACAAATCAGAGGTTCAAAGGTGAAGAACACAAGGAACACCACCTGACAGCAAACACTGTTTGAAGAACGTGAGGTGCAGGCACGTTACAACAAACCTGGTGTACTGGCATTACCTGAAGTCAGACTCCAGCTCAGTGGTGGAGTGGTTGATCATGGCACAGAGACAGTCTATGCTGGAGCTGGACAGAGCACGCCCAATGCACTTCTTCACTATATAAAACACGTCATCCACCATGCTGGAGGTGAGCTGGCCCTTCTCGTAGCTGTCCATGGCAACAGCCTGCAAAGAAAGCTGTCTCAGAGTCCCGAGCCCAGTGAGCGATGGTGCCCTCTCAGAGCAGTGCTGTGAGACCAAACTTGGTCTGCCTCCTTCACCCTGAGTGGAACTGTACCCTGTGTGGGCTGGCACTCAGTTTTCAGGAGCCCACAGCCCTGGAAGATCTGTCTCAAGAAGATACCCACGGGTATGTCTGGAGCCAAAGTTCAGAACCAACCACTTGCTTTTCAAGGCCAAGGGAAACAAAAGGCCTTCCCAACAACTGCAGACCTGCCATGTACTCGCATCCCTCCCGTGGGATGCTCAGCAGAGGACTGGGGAGCACACACAGAGAACCATCTGAGAGTTTCTCAGCACAGTCAGAGCCCTACCTTGTTGACAGTCTCCCTCATGAAGTATTCCTCCATGGTGATGTAGTAGCCAATGAGCTCTTGCATGGTGCAGCTCAGCAGACAGTTGTTGAGGAGCTTGTCCAGATATTTTTGATGCTCTGCAGAAGAGAGAACCATCAGCAGGGACCAAATGGCAGAAAGCAGTTCCACCAAGTCCCCTTCCTACCCCTCTGATGGACACCCAAGGGACACACACCTGCCAAGCCCAATCTGGAAGAAATCACAGGCCTCAACTGTGGAGCTGAAATTGCTGAGCTGAATTTTGCAGGTGACAAAAGTGATTTCCAGAGCTCCATGGAGTACCAAAACCCTGAGCCTGTTTTCCCTGTGGCCTCCATCTTTAGGATTTGTGCCTGCAGTGACCAAATGTCCCTCCCTCTCTTGTTTGTTATACTCTACAGTCATTCCTAATCCTAGAGGGAACAACCAGTGCTGAAAACAGGTTTGGGGAGGCCAGGCTATACAGTCCTCTTCCACAGCGTGCTCCCAAAGTATCTTTGCAGATCCTGTGTCACTCTGCTCTGCCACTGCCTCAGAGATATCTCCATTTCTGGCTCCGACGAACAGAGAGCCTGCAAGTCCTGGTGTTCAAGGTGTTACCTTGCTTTACCTCCTCTGAGGCCGTGGCATCTCCCACCTCAAAATCAGCTACTATTCGTCTCTTGATGAACCTCAAGTAGAGCTCGCTGCGGGCGTTCATCAGGGTGACTTCTGTTAAAATGGGGTCAAGCTCCCTGGAAGGAACAGAGCAAGAACCGAGGTAGCAACACTACAAAAGGAGAGGCACTAATTTAATTCAGTCAGGTAGTGTGTTTTCTGTTCTCTCATTGCAAGACCAATATTGCCTCTTTCCATCTGTGCCTTTGAGTGGCAGAGCTCAGCAGAATAATTGTGCAAAGAATGCACACACAATCAAAATGTCCCCAAAAAATCATTTCCAAGGGGGGATCTCTACAATACTGCTTTCTTCTTTGCTCCAAGAGTTAGCGACGCTCCCGCTCTTTTTTCCTGTGAGGACATCCACATTAAAATCACAGTGGTAAGGTCTGCAAGACTCTAAGCAACCTGCTACAACTTCAAAATGAGCCCTGCTTTGAGTGGGAGGTTGGACTAGAGACCTTCCTCAGTCCCTTCCTACCTCAGTTTTGCTACAATTCTGTGAGCCCCAAGCAGCCAGTGCTAGAAATGCTTGGTCCCTGCCATCTCCTCATGTGTGCTTTTGTGCACAGATCCATGTGTTTCTCTGAACATGATGAAGAATCTGATTAAGCTCAACAGCTCAGGAAATGTGAGACCAAAAAAGCACGTGACAACGTGCAGAATGCTGTGGTCACATCAGACATGACCATGAAAAAAAAGAAAGACTGTCACATCAGCAGCTTTTTCATCAGTGTGCACAAAAGAATTTTACAAATCCTGCTCAAAGCCTCACAACCCAACTGTGGGACAAGGAAACATTATCTTTATTTTAGAGATGAAAAAGCAAAAGGTCAGAAAACCTGGGATGGTTACTCAGAGCAAACAGTAAGTACATCTTTATATTACCACTGAAACAATTAGTTATGCAGGCTCACAGACAGATCTTGCTTGAGGAACCTAAGTCTTCTTTCAAGGCATGTTTATAAGTCAGGCAGTGCCAGAAGGGCTGGATGCACTTTCAAATGGCCTTCCTTAAGGGTTATGTAAATATTTAAGATAAGAAAAGTAGGGAAATTGAAAGCATTGTGGTTCATCAACAAGAAACCCATGTTTCAGAGCTGCTGCAGCAGCAGTACAGGTTAAATAAAACCCAGATTTATTCCTGATTCTGTCACAAATTATCTGCCCAGGGAGCTGCTCCATTTTGTGGGTTTCAGGGACTGTACTGTGGCCATCAAAGAGCAGTGGGCACAGGCAACTAAAGTCTCAGTCCTTCATGTGCAGTGATACTGCCAGCCCTCCAGCAGTGCTGAGGCTTAAAAGTAATGACTAAGCAAAATAAAGCCCCAAGTCAGAAGCTGCCTTTATGAAAGGGCAGAGAAGGGCACCTAACAATTGGATTTTATGTGTTAGTAGCCACAAAATCTCTGGAAGACTGGGAGTTATCTAAATGCTAAGTAGTGTTAATAACAGCTCAAGAGTGAAAGGTTAGAGCGCATAAAGACTTCTTCTTTGTACCTTGGTTCAATCTTCTCTGCAGAAGAACTTCTCATCATGCTATTCTGGACTTGCTGGAACTGCAATCACAAAAAAAAAAGAGAGAGTCATCAGTCTTTGCTGATGACTTGGAGTTACCAGCTGCTTTTCGTGCTGTAGCCCAAGGAAGTGCTTACTCACTGGGGGTGATAGGAATGCTTTGCAGGAAGCACTACCAGAGAAGGGAACTGCATCAGTTCACCTCCTCCTCCAAGGAAGAGCTCGTCCTGCCAGGGAGGACAATAGGAGGGGACTCCAGCAGAGGAACCAAGGTATGTGACCATGAGGCAGCTATAGCAGCCCTGCATCTAAGCAGGAACAAGACAGTGGGGAAGGTGTGCTGAAAGCACCCTACAGACCTGCACAGCAAAGAATCCTGTGCCCAGGGTGCCTTTATCACACTCCCAATGAGTCCTTCTCTGCAGCAGAAGGAACAGCTACAGGCTGAACCCCTTTAGCCATCATCATAAATATGGAGTAAAGCAAGGTTTCTTTTAATACACAAGGTCAAACTTTGCTGCCTCTGTGACAGTGGGAGCCCCACGGAGCTGGATAGAGGCTGCAGTTGGCTGCACCAGCCAGTGTCACGCTGCTCTCACCTGCCTATGATAGTCCCTCTCCTTTATGAACTTGTCCACCACCTTCTCCACTTGCCGGTCACACTCCACTTGCAGGTGCTTGATGAGGGTGTAGAGCCTCCCTGGCCCATAGTAGGTCTCCACGATGGGCTGATGGGTCTCCACAATGCGAGCAATTCCTGTGGGGAGAGGGGAAGCAAAAGAGACTCTACCAGGAGTTCCCAGAGCACAGCAGAGCTACCCAGGTCCACAGACTGGACTATCCTCTCCACTGTTTACTGTAATCACTGCAGTGCAAGTCTCCTGGAGTAGAAGCCAATTCTCTCTCCCCAAAGAGAGCTCCTGCTATGCCATGTGTGCCAGCTGCCCTCCCAGCAAACAAGGTACAAAGCTTCCCCAGGAGAAAGCCACACAAGCTAAACCTGACAAGGGGCATGACTGCCACCCAAACACAGTGTGAGCTCTCAGCACCCACCAAGTTACAGGAGAGCAGTGCTGGGAAAGATCAGCCTAGGGATGGCTCTCGGGCACACAGAGAGCAAGCATTAGTAAAGGCAAGAACTCCGTGGAGGAAAAGCTCATCTCCAAGGAGGTCTCTCTACAATATTGCTTTCTTCTCACAAACTCTCTACTCCAAGACTTAGCAACACTCCCCCTCTTTTACTGCTACTGCCAAGAAAGCTCTAAGGGTGCCAGGCTAGGAGAGTGACTTGGCAGTGGTGCAGCCTGGAATTAGAGCAGACTTCATAGAGAAGATGGTTAATAGTCACAGAATCTCAATTACTGTCTTTGGCCACATTCCCACAGAGCATTCATATTCCCTTCTCTCCCTGCTTTCAAGCTCCCATGCTGCTTCTTGAACAGCCAGGCCTGGAGGCACCAACAGCTGCTCAGCCTTAAGGGATCTGATTTGTTTGTCTGGAGAGCTGGAAGTCTGAAGAAACCTCCAGGGAATACCCATACGTTTTGAGGATGCAGAGAATGGGAAGAGTCTGATTCCTGGAGGAAACCAACAAATCCTTTGCAAATCCACTTCGTGCCTGCACAAGCTGTAGGTAGGAAAACTTGCTTATTGTGATGCCCTCTCCTGGCTGGAATAAATTCTGCTGGTGGTGTCCCTGTCCCTCGAGTGTGACACGTCCGCAGCTCAATGGGGAATGAGGCATTTTGTGAGCCAAAATTAAAAACATTTAAATTCATGGACAATCTCATCAGGGACTATTTTTAACCCATCAGGAAAGAGGGAAGGAAGATTACCTTCGAAGAGGAGTGTCAGGGTGTCTGCAAAGATGACAGCAGCTCGACGGTCACTCATGTCTGTCCCCATCACCAGCTGCAGGTTCTCTTCTGCTTTGCTGGCCACCTGCATGACAACAGGACCAGTCAGCTGAACACCCAAAGGTTTTCTTCATCCCCAGGGTGGTCCCCTGTCCTTGCCCTATCCAGCTTTCACTGGCCTTCCCATTGCAAGAGCTATTGCTGTTGTTCCTCCTTTGAACGGGGATCCTTTCCTCTTTTGTGGAAAACTCAAGGGTTGAGAAAAGACAGAAACTTGTTCTTCTCTTTCCATGCTCATTGTATGAGCTTTAAGCAAGTGCAGAGAGCAAGACACAGAAGGAGAAGCCGAACAGCCCCCAGGATCTGTACTCAGACACCAGAAAGCCCAACCCAGGACACAAAATGCAGGGAGAGAGACGAACTGAGGCCAGTGCTGGTTTCTAAGATTAACAAGCCCCAGCCAAAACCTCTTTCCACAACATCCATTGACAGAGACTGAGTTTTGCTTTCCCCTGGATGACCAGACAGGCCACAGCAGTTTCACAGACCCTGTTACCTGCTTGCAGAGGTACTCGGAGAACTTGCTCAGCCCCTCTTCGTGTAAGCCCAGCAGGGGAAAGATCTTGAAGAACCGTTCCACCTGGGGCAGGTCTCCCTGCTTCATGGCTGTGTCGAACTTCTCTGTGACAATTGTCTTCAGGCGCTGCTCTGCCTCCTGCAGGAGCTTCAGGTTGGCATCAATTATGCCTCCTGGACAAAAGGACAGAAAAGAAAGGGAAAAGTGACAGCACAATGTTAGTGCTGTATCCAGAGCTACTTTTTTCCCCAGGAGAGAGACCAACACTGTGCAGCTCTAGGCTGAGAAGGCAGAAGACACACTGGAATTTCTCTATAGGCAAAGAAAGACAGGTAGGTGTGTGATGTACACACAGCTAATGCTGTGGTTTTCCATGGAAGATGAGAACACATCCATCAGGACAGTTCTTCTAAGGATCTGGCAAATTACTCCTTGATTTCCAGTTGCTCTGCTTGGTAGCTCACTGTAACACTGCAACAGTTCTCCCTGACAGGGCCTTCTCTCTCACTTCTTTTGACCTGAACATTTTGTCCTTTGCTTAGTTAGCACCTGAAATACTATTAAAGCTGTGTGCCAGGAACCCTTCTTTCAATTGATGTTAATTCCAACTTAACAACACTTCACCTCAAAGTCAGTCTATAACATACAAAGAACTTTGGCCAGAACTAGATCTTCTGCTTTGTCTATTGGGCTACCTGCCATGGGAAATGATGCAGTCTCTAGTTATGTGCTACTGGAAGGGTGACTTATCAGCTTCTCCTCATGAGCAGAGCTCACCTTCCTTGCCCTGACGACTGAGCTCAATCACTGACTTGTCCAGAGACAGATAGCGATGGATATGAGCTGCTGCTTGTTCATAGTCTTCATTCCTCAGGGCTGTTTGAACTCCATCCATGCAGAACTTCAGGTCAAGGATGTCATCAGCTCTCTGAATGGCCTGATAGAGGCGGTTCTGCAAGAAAGGCACCCAGTAAAGCTTCCTGCTGCGGGACGGACCAGGGAGAGGGAAGTGTGAGGAGAAGACAGTGGGGGGGGAAAAAGGAAGAGACTGAAGCAATACTTCTCTACACAATAAACAACTATGTAAGCAGAAACCCCACACTACTTAAAAAGTCATAAAACCAACGGCTCTGCAAGAGGAACAGCATTTGTCAAAACTGAGGCTGAGCTCAGCTCTGCTACAACAAACAGGCACAGACCAGAGAGACAACCACAGGTTGTCTGGTTTGATTTGTGTAGCAGTGCTGAGTGCTGGGATAGACACCTCTCAGCCTGCCTCTGGACAAGGAAGAGAACAGCCCAGATTCCTGACCAGGTTGGGTGACAATGACCATCTCCACTGTCCTCAGTGCTTGACAAGGGTGTCAGTGAAGGCTGTCCTCACCTTATTCAGGATCTTGTACCAGGAGCTGCATGGACAGAAGGGGATGCTGGGGCAGCGTCCCTGGAAGTGTTCCAGGCCAGGTTGGATGGGGCTCTGAGCAACCTGGTCTAGTGAAAGGTGTCGCTGCCCATGGCAGGGGTGGTTGGAACATGATGGGCTTTAAGGTCCCTTCCAACCCAAACCATTCTGGGATTCTATGATATTTACTCTTATACCATAAAACATCCAGGAGCCCGGAAAGATCCTGCTAAAATAAAGAACAAAACAGTTTCCTGCCCAGTAGAGAAAAGAGCACATCTCTGTTGTGCTGTGAGCACACAGAACATGGTTTGGTGGTGCTCAGTCCCAAACCCCCTCCACCCAGTTACCTTGGCAAGGTCGAGCTGTCGGACTTTGCTGCTGACATTCTCAGCCAGGTTACAGGTGAAGGTGATCATTCCTGCCAACTGCTGGGCATCCCCCTCGATCAGCTGCAGATTAGGGCTGGGAACACAAGGGAACTGAACATGAGGTGCAGGCACTGAGCAGTCGGACGGCGTGCGACAGCGGGACGGTTATTCCTGCACACACCACTGCTCCTGGCACAACACTCCCTCCCATTCCACGACTTTCCCCCAGGGGCAAAGCAGCAGAATGGGACAGACTGATTGCTCTGGAAGGGGCTGCACAGACTGACTGTGTCTTGCTATCAGACAGGGCATGGACGAGCCACTGGGGCTTCATGGCACTCTCCACTTCTGAAGGGAAAGATGAAGGCTGTAAAACTGTGCTCTGATCTTCTACCAGGCACGAGGCCACTGAGGATGACTTTCCACATGGATGACTTTCCAGACTGCCTGCACAAGCTCACCACGAAGAGGCAGTAATACTTCATCACCTGACACAAGACATCTGATCCAAGCACTGATGCTGAAAACTGGCAACCTCTGGGGTGAGACCTTCAAAACCCACCCAGCCTACACCAAAACGGGTCAGTCTGTATGAGAGCACAGCAGTCCCCTCTGTCAGTGCTGCTGAGAAGACTGGGGCCCTGGGGATGAGGATTCAACTGCTGTTCCCTGCCACAAACTGATTTAAAGCCTGATGTTTCCTGAGAATGTTCCTCTACAATGCTGAAAGGAATGTTCAGGTCGTGCAGTGAGGAGAAGGAAGGGAAGAGAGTGGGGAGCACTAACCCCATGCGCTGAAGAGCAACCATCTTGTTCCCTATAGTGCTTTGCTGCTCCAGAAGGGCATCCAGCTCTTCCTGCACAACTTTCTGGAAAAAAAAGGACAAAGAAATCCTTGTGTGACTTCTGCTCTGCCCGGGCCAGCAATTCATCACAGACCCTATGTCCAAGTCAAGGACACGGAGCTAGAAAGGCATCAGTGCTTCCCAGAACTCATGTGACAAATCTCTTTCTGATCTCTCATTTTAATACTGTAAATCTTTATATTTTTGCCATTTAAAATATCGGTTATGGGAACCTCATCACACAATTTTTTAAGCCAGATAACCGACAATCTCCTCCCCTGGCCGAGTTTTCAATGAACGAGGCCCCGGAATCTCCAGGCTACTCGCGATCCAGGGACACCAGACCCGCGGAGGCGACGCCGTCCGCCCACCGGGCCCCGGGGACGGCCGAGTGCGTATTAAACACCTCTGGAAAGGATCCAGACAACTAAGGGAGCCGTGACAGCGAGGCACTCGCTCTCCCTGTCACCGCGGTGGCGGGACGGAGCGGGCTGCAGCAGTGAACACCTTCGCGGCGCCCCCGCCGATTGCCGCCTCACACACCTCCTCCTCACACAGCCGGCTGTAGGCGGCCTCCAGGTCCGCCAGCTCGGTCAGCGACTGGATGCGTTCCATGGAGAGCGCGGAGGCGGCGGGGCCGCCGCTCTCCCCCCGCGGCGCCTTCGCACCCGGCGCCGTGGCCGCCGCCATCTTGGGACTCAGTGACACGGCCGGCACCGCAGCCAGGCCCGCCGGGGCTGACCTCAGCGGTGCCTGAGCGCTGGCAGCCGCACGGCTCCGCCCGGCAGCGCTCGGGGTGACGCTCCCCTGGTGTTTGTTCTGCGCCTCGAGGCGGCTGAGGTGGTTTTTACTTTTTTGGCGGGGGGTGGGGGATGTTGGTACGGGGATCGGCTGCCATCGCGCCGCAAATCATTCAGGCGCCGCTACGGGCAGCCTCCCCCCGCTCCACGGACGGGATGCGGGGCGCGCGCGCCGGGAGCGCGGAAAGCCCCGCGGGGAAGGCGCGCGAGGGCAGCGCGCAGGCGCGGCGCTGATGGCGGAGGCGGCCCGGGGCGCGCCCGCCTAGGCCGGAGCAGCATCCGCCGCCATCCGCCGCCGCACGCACGGTGAGCGCCGCCCCGGCAGCCCACCCGCCGCTCCGCGGCCGCCAGACGCGGGATGGGCCGCGGGTTTGACGGGGGGAGCGCCGCGGGCTCCCCGGGGCCTGGGCCGGAGGATGGCGGGGGGGCGGCCAGGCCGGGCCGGGCACTGACCAAGGGCCGGTCCCGGGGGATGAGCGGCCACGGGGAGCGGGGCCGTGCTGGCTCCACGCCCTCCCGGGGCCGCAGGGAGGTTCAGGGCCACCTGCGGCGGCCCCTTGATGCTGGGGTTGCCGAGGGCTCCTTCCCGCCTTCGTCCCGTCGGGAGGGATCGGCCCCGAGCGGCTGCGGGGGGTGGACTCGTGTTCAGTGAAACGGGGAGGTGCGGCGGTGTCACGGAGGTGTGACGGTGCGGGGCAGCCTCGGAGGGATTCCCTAATTGTGTTCAGTTTCAGAGCAGCTAAAGCAGCGAGTAATTAGCGGTAATTATTGGGAGTCCTGATCAGTCGCGCGTCAATAAGGAGCTCATCTGCCGCTTGGCAGCCTAGGCACTCTGGGAGAGCCTTTTGCCTCGTAGCGCTAATAAACACCAAATAACTGTGGCAGTCGTGCTCCTGATGTAAAGCTCTACGAGGGCAGCAGTTCTCTCTGTGCTGTATGAAAGCCTTTGGTTTAGCAGAGTTCATATTTTTGTCCTCCCTGTTGCAGGCTCAGTGAAGCTGCAGTAGCTGAAGCAAACTCGTCGCCAACATGTTTCTGTACAACCTGACGCTGCAGCGTGCCACTGGCATCAGCTTTGCCATCCATGGCAATTTCTCAGGTAATTTTCTCCTCCCCTCATGCCTTTTGGCCTAAGCTCTTTTAGGTAGTTCAGGGAAACACATGGGTTTTATTTGATTTGGTGCTGAAACTGGGCTGCTTCAGTACAGTGTGATTTTTTTGATGCTAAGTTATTGTTTGCTCTGAAGTGTTACTTGAGCTGTGGTCACTTGTGGAAAGATCAAGAGGAGGTTGGCTTGATTATCTATGAATTTGATTTATCTGTAGATTTAATGTAGCATTTTGTCCAATTTTCTGGTCTGTTAAAAGATGTTCAAACAATGGTGGTATCTGATGCAGTGAATAAGTTGTTTTGAATTCTTCCATCATAATCCTAAAACTAGCATTTGGTAGCCATGAAGTTTTCCCTTGCAATGCTTCCTGAAGCTGCACGTTCTGCTCTCTCGTTGCTGACTCGCCCTCGTGTTTCTGGGTCCTTCAGGAACCAAACAACAAGAAATCGTGGTTTCCCGGGGCAAGATCCTGGAGTTGCTCCGCCCCGACCCCAACACGGGGAAGGTTCACACCCTGCTGACTGTGGAGGTGTTCGGGGTCATCCGGTCCCTCATGGCCTTCAGGCTGACGGGTGGCACCAAGGACTACATCGTGGTGGGCAGTGACTCGGGGCGCATCGTCATCCTGGAGTACCAGCCCTCCAAGAATGTGTTTGAGAAGATCCACCAGGAGACCTTTGGCAAGAGTGGATGTCGCAGGATCGTTCCAGGCCAGTACTTGGCTGTGGACCCGAAGGGCCGCGCTGTCATGATCAGTAAGTCACTCTGTCAGCTTGTATTCCCCCTATTTTTTCTTTCCTCTTGTCTTGTGGATGTTTATTTCGGAGTAAGTGTCTGCCAGGTGTAATTGGAAGCGTTTCTCGGGCAGTTTGTTGGGCTGTGAGATGTGTCAAGGAGAGTGCAGGCATGCACAGTAGCTCCTCAGTGCTGATGGAGCTGCACAAGTGAATTCTGACGCTGGGCCAAAACAAGTTGGAAAGAGTCCGGCATGGTTGGCCCTGCACAGAGCCCTGAAGTGTGGGAGGGAAGATGGGATTGCGGGCATCGGTGCTGCAGCGTGGTCAAGTCAGCTCCCATGGCCTGAAATGATGTTCTGAGTTCATGTCTCTTCTCTGAGCTGTATTCTGAAGACAGCCAGGTGCATTTCTGATCAGGCTTCATGGGTAGAAGGACACCTGGGGAAAGTTGTTTTTTTTAATTTTTGTAAGATGTAGCACAAGGTGTTTTAGGGACTTGGCAGGGAACTTTCTCAGTTTGCTCATGGCAGCTTTGTGCAGCGCTGGTTTCCTGCACGCTGAGATGGAACAATGGTAGTTTACCAATGCCTCTTTATATTGCTAATAGCAATAAATAATAGTTTGCTTTCTAACAAGTCTAGTTTTCCTGTGTGAGAAGGTAACACAGTCACAGTTGTGCCATTCCTGTAGATATTTGAGTGGTGTTTATGTTGGGGGTGCTGTGTGCCAGGAAAGAATGCGTTTTCTTAGTTACAGTATTTCTGAGGAAAAGTTGTCTTGCCAAATGGCTTTGAAGAGTGGAACATCTGGCTGCTTCTTTCTGTTTGTTTTTGCTTCCCTGCAGTCTGTGTGTGCTGAAAGAGTGAGTAGATCTGCCCATAGCCATTGTAGATGGAATATTGGGCTGGGGAAATGTATCTCAAAGGGTCAGTCCTTGGCTTTAAAGGGCTGGAGTTATCATTTATACTTGCAGCCTGGAAGATGTAAAAGGAGGCATTGGAGTTTGGTTGGTGGCACAGAGATAAACACCAGTGGTCAACTTCAGCTGAATTAGTGCTGACATTCTGCTGCCAAGCTACATCTTGGTATGGTCAGATTTGATTGTCAGGTGATGGCCTTCAGGTGCTGTTGTCCTTCCTTGCAGGTGCCATTGAGAAGCAGAAGCTGGTGTACATCTTGAACAGAGATGCTGCTGCTCGTCTCACCATTTCCTCCCCACTGGAAGCCCACAAGGCCAATACCTTGGTCTACCACGTGGTGGGAGTTGATGTCGGTTTTGAAAACCCCATGTTTGCATGTCTGGAGATGGATTATGAGGTGAGAAGAATTTGATCTCTTTTAGCTGTCTTTTGAGCTTTGTTGTTCCCTGTTCTGTTCTTCATCTGTCTGTGGGGAACAATGGCTGCTTTTGGTGTCTCAGGCAGTTTTTATTCGTCACAAGCTTACTGGCTTTTTGTTTTGCCTTCAGTCAGAATGTGCAAGACTCTTCTGTCTTGATAATTCTTATCATTCTTGCTATTCAACTGCAGATGTGCCTGTTTTCTTTTTCTGAACTTTTCCTGTGCATCTTCCACCAAGTCTTCTTTTGGCCTTCGTTCTGTTGTTACTCATAACTGTTTACCCACACATCAGCTTTGCTCCTCCTTTTCATACTTTTCTTGAAAGACACTTCCATGTGTTCTCTTTTAGGAAGCAGACAATGATCCAACAGGAGAAGCTGCAGCCAACACACAACAGACATTGACATTTTATGAACTGGACTTGGGTTTGAACCACGTCGTTAGGAAGTACAGCGAGCCCCTGGAGGAGCACGGCAACTTCCTCATAACAGGTATTGCCCACAGAGTCATTTTCTCCCGGGTCTGCTTGGTTCCCATTCCTCAGGAAAACAGAATCAATATGCCTTACATCTTAGGAGTTGTTTTGATGGTAGTCTGAGCCATTGATATAAACTAATTGACCTTGGTGTCAGGTAATAAGTGTTGGTTCACACGTGGATTGGTAGCAATGCAAAAGCATCTCTGTTTAGGTAGTGCATAGGTGCTGTTGTACTCTCTTGCATGGGATTCCATCAGCTAGAGGCAGTAGATGAATCCACAGACTAAAAGCCCACTTGTAGGGCTTGGATGCAAAGCCAACCTCACACCTTCAGCCTGGGAAGGTGCTGCAGGTTCCTCTGCAAGCACAGAAGATGCTGAGCTGGGAGAGCATCCTTGTATGCAGCTGTCAGACACCAAATATTGGGCTGGATCTGACCACTCCTGCTGTTTTGATATCTTTTGTTAGGCTGGATTCTCAATAGAAGCATTTTTAAAACCATACTCTAAAAATAAAAGATATGTCAGAAGACCATTTGATAGATTTTTCTGACAAGCAGGCAAACATGCTAGTAACCCAAGGCTTGTTCTGACAAGTTGTTAATGTGGTATTTTGGTCTTGTCATGGCCTTCTACACAAGAATAAGGCAGAAGGGATAGAACTTGAGCCATTTCTGTGAAGCTGCATCCTTCCTGGTTCCATCTGACCTATTCTCATGCTGGCACAGGCAGCTGTACTCAGTCCTTTGTCTTCCTTTTCAATAAGAGCAGACTTAGATATGTAGGGTGATAGACAGCACTGGTAACTACATTGCTTTGAAAAAAACCAGAAGAAATACTCTGCAGGCAGTAAGTCAGATCCATGATAAGGGCTCCTCTCCTAATATACTGGTTTTGTTTTTCAGTTCCTGGTGGTTCTGATGGCCCTAGTGGGGTGCTGATCTGTTCTGAAAACTACATTACTTACAAAAACTTTGGTGACCAGCCTGATATCAGATGCCCAATTCCCAGGAGGCGGGTGAGAATTTTTTAACAATATGAATGCTTGGTATTTGTCTTTTGAGGTTAAGGGCATCAGGGAGGTTTTAAAGTAATAAAAAAGAAGTTAAAAGTGTGTTGGCTTATCATATACTTCCCTGGCTGCATGTTATCTGGGAGTGGGGACAGAGGCAGGCACAGCCTGAAGTGATGAGCTCAGTTCATGTCTCTTCTCTGAGATGTACCCTGGAGATACTGCAAACACTCTGATCAGGCAGCACTGTCAGTGCAAGGTGGGATTCCTGGAGATGGTGAGTCACAGTGGCTGCTGTAGATGCAGGTGAATTCAACAGCTGCTCTGTTGCGTCTAAGGCTGCTTCCTCTTCCCTTTGGTATTGGGAATTACACGCTTTGGCAGTGCTTTGAACACCTGCCAGGGTGCTCAAAACCAGCTGTGTGTGGGCTGCAGCCCTTTCCTCTGTGTTTGGCTTTGATATGTGAGAGAGCAGCAAAAAAGACACGAGGGGTGATGCTTTAGGCACAGTGTCCCAGAAGTGTGTTTCCTTCTGAGGCACAGAGGTACTGAGGGTGACTGTGGGTGTTACAGAGAGGAGGTGCTTTGTGTTAAAAGCCTCCTTGCCTACTGTCAGCTCTTAAAGGACCTGTGAAGTGGGAATACTTCAGTCAATGCAATCACATCTACACTTGCTGGGTAATTTCACCAGTGACCTCCACTCTCTTTCTTGTCAGAATGACTTGGATGACCCGGAGAGAGGGATGATTTTTGTCTGCTCTGCTACACATAAGACCAAGTCCATGTTCTTCTTCCTGGCCCAGACAGAGCAAGGAGACATTTTCAAAATTACTCTGGAGACTGATGAAGACATGGTAAGCATCACGTGAAGGATGGCAAAAGCATTCATTGAGAGGAGTCCTTAGTCAATTATTTTGATTCTCTAAAGTAATAAATATTTAATATTGTGGGTTTAGTTTTGTAATGTCACATATTTTATGTGATCTGTAATACAAGTAACACTAGTCACAGCTGTGGGTATTAGTCATACAGAGACACTGCACAAGGTTTGCAAAATCCTGTGAGGATTATACTGCAGTCACTTGGGCATATTTTAGCTGTTCTGACAGTGGTCCTTTCTTTAAAAGATGTGAAGTGTGGTTCATGAACCTGCTGGGGAGTATTCAAGAAACTAATTCAGGGGAACTTACTTTCTCTTGATTGCAGTAGGTGCACTCTAATCTCTTAACTGAATATTTACATGGTGCAATCAATATTTTTGCAAAGTGAAGTAGCCATCTTGGTACAGCTGGTCCCTGAGTTGCAATAGGAAGCTTGAAGTGGCTTTCTGCTGCTTGTCTTACTATTCTGCTAGGGAAAGATCTCTGCTGCAGTGAATCAGTTGGGTTTTCTTGAGTAAATGTTGAATGTTAGTACCTCCTTCATCTGAACATGTCAAAGTTGGTATAAGGGATGATTGTATAGCAGGCACCAAGCCTGCCAGAGTTCAGGGAGCGTTGAGACAACACTCTGAGGCACGTGGTGTGGTTTTTGTGGTTGTCCTGTGCAGAGCCAGGAGCTGGACTCAGTGATTATGGGTCCCTTCCAACTCGGGATATTCTGTGATCTTTAGGTGGCTGTAGGTTGCTCTTGGATGTTTCACCAAGAGCTTTTTGAGAGCATGTCAAATGTAGAAATTTGCTCAAGACATTTATTTTTCACATGTTGGAGAATGGCTGGTATTCAGTGAAGCAAATTTCTTATCTTCTAGGCAGCTTTCTGTTTTTGCAGCTTTTATTTTCTAAACTGACTCAGTGTTACAAAAGCCAGAAAGTCTTAGAATAAAACAGGCAGCCTGGCTTTTGTGTGCAAAATAGTCTGTTGGATTTTGTGATTTATATCCTGCTGCCCTAAGCTACTGATGTGGTTAAGCCTGGCCCACTCTTGCTTCCTTTCTTTGAAGAGGATAGTTAGGCAGATTTTTTTTGTTGAATCACACATGTACTTTGTTAGCACAGCCCTGTCTTCATCTGCTCCCAGGTAACAGAGATTCGACTGAAGTACTTTGACACTGTTCCTGTGGCTGCTGCCATGTGTGTGCTGAAAACGGGGTTTCTCTTCGTGGCATCTGAATTTGGAAACCAGTGAGTAAACAGTTTGACATCAGTGTTTTTCCCCAAACAGACTGGTTCTGTTCAGGCCTGCAGACTCACCCTTGGGCTTACTGTACTTAGAAAGACACCACCTCTGATTTAATGGCTAAATTAGTGCTTTGTTCACACAGCTTGAGAAGAACAGTTGGATTAGACTGTGACTGAATGGGGGAATTTTCTTGTTGTTTGAACATAGAGAATTAGATGATGTAGTGCAGAGAATAAAAGATGACTTGCTATTGCAGTAGGTTTTGAAAGAATTGAGCACTTGCTCTTCATCTAGGGTTCATCACATATCCAGATGAATTTTCCTTTCAATTAGTTTTGTTAGTTTTGAATTTTATGTGCTATGGCCCACTCAGAAAGGGTTTCTTATCAGTAACTGTGTTCCTTTCCTTAATAGATAGATTTCCATAATAAATATATGCTTGATGGCTTCCTCAATTTATGTTTGGGATTCTAGAATACTCTAAAGGCTTATGCCCATATTTGGAGATGTTTTAACAGTGTCTAAGTGGAGGATTCACAGGAATGGAAATATAAACTTTTTTTTCTGACTGCATCTGCAGTCAGCCACCTGAGGGAGCCCCAGCCAGTTTGCTGGAGCAGGTCTGAATTGAGGAAGCCATATTCAAGCTTTATTAAAACCAGGAAGTAACTCAGTGTATTTTTCTTGGGTTTTTTTTGTTTTTTTCCTCTGAAATTTAATTTGGTTGTTATGCTGTTTAGGCTTATAAATTGGAATAGGGAATGTGGTTAAAAATAGTAAGGTAAGAGTATTCTAATAAGATAGGTAACTGTGGAGTTGCAGTCTTAGCCATTGGCCTTGCTTTTGACCTCAGACATCAGTTGGTGCTTTGGCTTTAACACAAGAATATCTGAAAGGCTCAAGGGCAAACAGAAAACACTGAAACTCTGGGATACCTTGCCAGCAACAGCTACAAATGAGAAGGACTGAAGCAGGGAGGTTGTGGGGGTAGGTTTTTTTGGTTGGTGGGATTTGGGGGGTTTTTTTGCAGGCCTCTGATTCCCTTTAAATGTCTTGTCACCAAGAAGACAATCCTTAGAGCCAAATTTTAATAGCTGTGTTAATGTAGGGTTGGATTTCTTTCCTTCCCACTGCCTGAATATCTGGCTAAGCCTTACTTGGAGAAGGCTCTGTGAGCTTTGCACTGAACATGCTGTTGCTCTTGCTTCCTGTCTCCAGTTACCTGTACCAGATCGCTCACCTGGGGGACGATGATGAGGAGCCAGAGTTTTCTTCTGCCATGCCTCTCGAGGAAGGAGATACCTTCTTTTTTCAGCCACGGCCTCTCAAGAACCTGGTGCTGGTGGATGAGTTGGACAGTTTGTCTCCCATTCTGTGTTGTCAGGTATGCTGCCATCGGCAAGCTCCCGTTTACCATGGACATAAGTGAGTGGAGTCACCAAAGCTGTGTTATCCTGGGTTTCCAGAAATGCTGCTCTATAGTAAAGACTTGTAGAAAAGCAAAGTTCTCAGACAGCTGCTGAAGACTGGCACCTGGCCTGGCAGCTTTTGATTCCTGTGGAGATAAATATGTATCTAAACATGGGGTGTCAGCCAGCAGTTCTGTGCTGCTGCTCTGTTGACCATCAGAGCAGTTCTTTGCAGAGAGTTTGGTTAAAACTTGGTGTTATTTCAGGGCAGCAGATGGTACACCCTGTAGCATCTTCACTGTTCTTGGTGTTTGTAAAATAACATTCTTAAATCAGCAGTGTGGCATATCTAGTTTAGTTTAATTTTCCCTTTCCGTGGGTATTGTCTGACACTTTTTCTCCACACAGATAGCAGATTTGGCCAATGAAGACACACCCCAGTTGTATGTGGCTTGTGGTCGGGGGCCCAGGTCATCTCTGAGGGTTTTAAGACATGGACTTGAGGTAAGACTTCCAGCACTTTACAAGAACAGCTTGAGAGGTGAGGGCAGTGGGAGAAAATCCTTCAAATAAAGGTGCTGAAATGAAGGGATTCTCCTTTTGCTGTAGTCTGGAGAGTAACTTTCTGTAGGCTTGCTTCCTGGAGAAATAAGAGTTCTATTGTTTATTCGTACATTCTCAAAGGCTTTTTGTTTAGTTAACTCTGGCAACCTGCATTTTGTCTCTTTTAATACTTGAGTGTATTGAGCTGGAACATTCCTGGTGTGTTCCAGCAGCTGCTGATCTCTGCTGGGGGCGGGTGACCTCGTGTTAAAGCCAGTCATCCAGAGCTCTAGTGCTGCCATAGCATTGCTGAATAAACTCTACCCTGTAGCACATCTGGCACGGGGTGAGAGCGTCAGAATTGGGAATTGTTGGCTTTCCTGCCCAGTTGTTGGAAAGCTTAAGAACTGCTGGTGGTTTGGTTGCTTACTCTAGTAAGTCTAAACATCTGTTTGCAAAAGAACCTTCTTCCTGTTTACTCTTAGGTTTCTGAAATGGCTGTCTCAGAGCTGCCTGGTAACCCCAATGCTGTATGGACTGTGAGGAGACATGTTGAAGGTATGCAGTATTTTCCTAAAGCACAGGGAGGTCATAATGGTTTTTTGTGTGTTTTGTTTGTTGTTGTTTCTTTCCTTTCTTTTTCTGTCCAAGGAGATAGGAAAGGTGCTGCATCATGGCCATGTGCCATTCCCAGAAGTTTGAGTCACTAGCCACTTGCTTGTATTTAGAAGCCACCCACCCTCTGGTCCCCTAGGATTGTCACACTTGCCTTTGACAAAGAAGCACCTGCCTGCAGCTGCATCCATCACCCAATGTGTGGTGTCAGCTGCACGTTTGCAGCCTGAAGCTGCTGAACTTCTCATCCTTCCCCACTTCCCATAAGTTCTTGCTCAGACAGCAGGCAACAGTTATTCTTTTTGCTGGAGCACATTCCCTGTTCTTCATGTGCGTGTTGACAACCCTGGTAATCAGCCCTTTGTGAGAGAGTGGGATACAAATTATGGAACAAAGAAGATGAATCAGCAACAGTGTCTGTATTTTATTACTTTCTTCTGTGCATATTGGTGAAGAAAACGGTCTATTTGGGCTAGGATACACTCCCTATTCTAAAACAGCAGTGTGTAGAATGCTGCTGATCCCAGGAAGGTAAAGATTTCAGATTGTCAGAATATACTGAACTGGGGGGTTGTTTGTTTTTTTTCTTTCTTCCTAATCTGAAATAATGGGTTTGCCTTACTAAAGAACAAGAGGAAATGTAGACCCTTGTCCTGCCTTTCTTGTGAGGGTGAGAACAGAGTTCCAAAGAAACACTTAAAAAGCTTGAAGTGAATCTGTTCTAGGTATCTCTTCTGGTGATTATTTCCAAGGCAGTGCTTTGTATAAATCTCACAAAGACTTCTCTAGGTTTATTGACTGGACCTAGAAATGCCAGCTTGTTGCAGTAGAGACCTTAACCTGCTGTGGTGACATGGTATCTTGTAATTAAACAGAGCAGTATGTCTTCCAGGGAATCTGTGACCCTGTGGGAATTTCAGACATTGCTGTGGGATTTACCTTGCCATACAAGACCTGCCATCCGTTCCTGTGCTCATGTCCTGAGACTCATGTGTTGCCTAAGCAGCATGGGAGGAACTTGGAGCATAAAGCGCCTTCCTGTTCCCCAGAGATAAAAGGGTCAAAAGCAAAATATTTCCACAGTTCATATCAAAAATAAGCGCTTTTCTAAAAAGGGGCGTTGCAGTTTGTTCGAGAGAAACCTTTGCTCCAGCATTCTGGAAAAGGTGTTGGTAACATTTGCTCCCTCTGAGGGATGGAGGCTTCTTACATCACCTTAGGTTTTAAAACCTTTTCACCTTAGATTTTAAAACCTTTTCTCTTGGGGTTCCAGAGGTCGACTTCGACTTTTCAGGAGATGGGGGACCGTTGCTAATCAGCACGAAACAGACAAGTCTCATTGCCTCATCTTTTTTCCACCTTCCAAATTTTCCAGGTTTCAGCATGATCATCTCCATGATTTCAGAAAGGCTGGAATCTCTAGCTGTTGAGCCTTGCTGCTCCCTAAATACCACTTATAGTCACAGGAAACCGATCCTCAAGTTCCAGCTCTTTGAATTCAGAAATCACTTCAGTGGGTTTTGATCAGAAAGAATGCAGAGCCTTTTCAAACGTGTGTCTGATCTTGGCACTGCCCTGGAGTGCCCCGTTTGCAGCAGTGGGTTGCCTGGCTCTGCCCCGGTGCCGCAGTGTGCGTGTGCTGCAAGGCCTCTGTAAGACACCCCCAGGTTTGCAGCCCTCAGAGCAAATACTAACCATGGCTGGTACGTGGTGATACTCACTACCAATACCAAGCCTTTTTTTTTCTTCCACAGGTGGCTGGTGGTGGAGGTGCTGATCACAGGTGTGTACCTACTGCTAGGGGCTACTGTACCGTCCCACAGGTTAACCCCAGACAACCCCCAAACATCGTGGGGCTATGTTTATGCTGAGCTTTTTAGTAAAGGAATTCTAGAAGCTGGTGTGCAGTTGCAGATCATTGCCCTTGCAGTTCAGTAGCTGAGGAGTAGAAAGCAGATCCCATTGCATCTTACAGTCTTTGAGGAGCAAAACAATCAACTGTGTCTCTGTAGAACAGTCAGTTCTTGCTAGCGTCAGATGTGTGTGTTTCAGGGGTGTTTTCAGCTCCCTTGCAGACCAGGGTTTGGCTCCCACCTGCATTGTACAGACCTCAAAGAGAAAAAAATCAAGTGTTCTTGAAGCACCTGTAGGTATTGCTGGCACAGGAATGCCCTGTGGTTATGGGATGCATCTGCCTGTCAGACAGAAGTGGATGGGATTTGCCCCAAACCCTCTCTTGCAGTCAAGTGTGGAGGTCTGGGGGTCTAGCTGGCTGTGTGCTCTGCTGTGGAGATAGATGGGAGCTGGGAGCTAACAGCCAGCATTCCCTGCCTGGCACTCCTGCGTGAAAAGCGGGAGCGGTGAGTCACCGCTGCGGAGTCACCGTGCAGGAGTAAACAGAAGCCCAGGAAAATGTGCTGTCATCCCCTCGGTGTCTGTTGAACTGAGAGTAATCCTGAGCTCTGTCTCTGCTCGTGAGTTTGTTCACTGAGCTCCTCTGAGCTAGTGGTGCCTGTATTTGTATCAGTGGAAATTCAGATGCCGCAGAGCATTAAAAAACTGCATCAGGCCTGGACTGCATAGAGGAATGGAATTCTCCTGGACTAACTCAGACTGAATCCATGACAAGTAACAAAAAGCACAGTAGTGTAGAGTTCAGGGACTGAAATGTCATGTTTTCATAACTGGTCCTGACGTGTGCATGAAGCTGCAGAAAACTTGTAATGAGTGTGTAGGAGAATGAGTCCAGCTGTGGCTCTTCAGAGTCATTAAAATGTCTCTATTACTTGCTGAAAGGAGCTAACTGGAGCAATTAAAACAGTAATAAGCATCTCTGAAGTCTTGTGTCTGCATACAAAATGATGTCTATCTGTTCAAAACTCTGGGGAGCCTGATGTTATGCTTGGGATTGTGCAGAGCTAAGTAGATATCTTTTCATATTAAAATCTATAAATCTTTTTCTGAGAACACTTCAGTGTGCCCTAGGGCTTTAGTCCCCTTAATTTCAACTAGGCTGCTATATTTTCTAAACCAAAATTGCGTTGTTTGAATCTGGATGAATGTGTCTTATTCACAGACTTAATTCTGGTAAATCAAACCCTTTATTTCAAAAGCTCCAGCAGAGAGGCATTAAGCAACACAGACTTCAAGCAAAAATGCACTTGTCACCGTTACTGACACAGGTTTAAAGACATAGTCTAATACAAATGTAAGCCAATGGAAAGAAAGAGCTAAAAAAGTATTAAGAGGTAGGAATGAGTTTTCATTTAGAGCAGGACTAAGGGAATCTGTTTTGCTTTCGAATGGGAGTTCTTTGTCCTGTTCCAAATCACATGATTAAGCCTCCAGCTGGGACACAGTGGTTTATCATGAGAATTGACAGCCCCCAGGGAGGAAGGCAGCAACTCTCAAGAAATTTGGAAAGCAACAGTGGTCTTTGAAATGGAATTCTTAGAACATCCTGTCTATGTGATATTTATGAATCAAATGCTTTGCCTGTGAACTGTCACAATTCTCCGTTTAAAGTGATCGAGAAATTTTTGTAGAATTTTAGTGTTGAAAAAGTCATGCAAATTTGTAGGAGAAGCTGCTGTTCAGTGTAGAAAATAACCTGTGTTTAACTGCAAGTCTTGCTGAACTCCTGCCATCAGCTGTTAATGTTGGAGGAATTCTCCTGTTAAGCCAAGCGTTTAAATGGTTGGCGTTACTGATCGGGTTCTGTGTGCACGTTCAGTTCTTGTTTTCTCATTTCCCCAAGTGGGCTTGTTCCTGTTTGTGGGTTTCAGAGCATGTTGGAGGTCACAGGTTGTGGCCACTTAATAGAGTAGTAATGGAGTTAATGCCGCAGACCACTGTTGGAATTGCTTTGGTTACACAGAGCTCTTCAGTTTGAGCAGAGCTGTGGTCTGTATACCAGATGTTGAAGAGAAGTGGATTTTTATTTTTTTTTCACTTGCATATTTTCAGCTGTATGTAAGAACTTTTTGTTGTAAACGTGACACAGCAGGTTTGGCAGTGCTTCCCTCTAAACAGGGTAGATAAGAAAAGGATCGGTTCCTGAAGCGTTTGTTTTGGTTAACCTAGTTTGGGTTCTTTAAGCTGCTGCATGGTATTTACTGGCATCCTGCTTTAATCCCAGTGAGAGTTCTCTATTATTAGAGTCATTAGCCACTTCTCCATGTCTCCCACATTTGGAAATTATGGAGAATTTCCATTCAAGGGCAGAAACTATGACAGCTCTCTTACACCCTCACTTCCACTAGTGCTGTGGTGCCCAGGTCTGAGCTTTGGGTTGAGTTGGGTTAAAATGAGGAATTTTCTTTTTAAGAAATAGCACTTGCATGACAACAGCAGCAGAATTAGAGTTGCTTCTCTGAGGCAACCTTATTTCCAAGGCTCCTGGCTTCATTTCCCAACAGACTTCATTGTTTCTGTTGCTTTGTTACTCTGTTGTAATGAGACTCCTCTTCCCTTCTTAAGGCCTGTTGCTTTCTGCAGAATGAAAACAGACAGCAGTAAACTGGGACATTCCCTTCACCCAGTCCTACTACCCTTGTTTCCCACAAAGTTTCTCTATTTCCAAATGAGCTCTTAAGATTATTTTGATTAGCATAGCCCTTCCACATCCAAGCTACACAATTCTTCTGAGCTGTCCCCTTTGGGAGAAGCCAGTACTGGGGATAATAGTTGCAATACTGTCACTTATCCCAGCAGAAGTAAAGGTCAATGTTTACTCTGTCTTAAAAATGGAATTGTTTATCATCCCAGGAGACTGTACCCATCTCAATGTGTATGTAAGCCATTTGAGCTTCTGGAGAAGGGTAGAGCAGGCTTAACCCTGAGTTGCTCTGCTGCAATGCGCCCTAATTGTTCTCTGCAGTCTTTTATTGTGAGGCTACTAGATAGAGACTGTGGTCCTGTAACCTCTTGTGTGCAACATCCATGGTGTGGTTTCTGCAGGTGGGTTCCATACGTTCAGATTTTTGGAGTAGACTATTCCCTTTGACTTCACTGAGTGTTGAATCCGGAGTCAGCTCCTTGTGTGAGGCGGGACAAGTGTCTTAAAGGCTTCTAGACTTCGTGTGGTCTTTGAAAAAAGTAGGCAGGAATCTTGCTTGCCAGAATCCACAGTATTGTGAATTGACTCTGGATCTGGATCGTGGTTTGACCCCTGGCTTGATCTTGCATTGTTTGGAGTCTAGCAGTGGCTGGCTTTCGGACAGCATGTCCTAGAGCGAACTCGTGCAATACTGTCAGCAGCTGTAATTATCACAGCAGTTCTGCTGAAGAGTAACTGCTAGACATGTGTCAGACTGCTGATTGTGTTGGGAAGCCTTGCATTTATTTAATCAGCACCCTTTTTTCCCTGTCTCCCTTGACCAGATGAATTTGATGCCTACATCATCGTGTCCTTCGTAAATGCCACGCTGGTGCTCTCTATCGGAGAGACTGTAGAAGAAGTGACTGACTCTGGATTCCTGGGTACTACACCCACCTTGTCCTGCTCTCTTCTTGGTGATGATGCTTTGGTACAGGTAATGGAAAGCTGCTTCTGACATGCCTACTTATGCCTGCCACTCTCTGCTTGCTGCATGGACGTGGTTTCCACAACAGTGCAACCTCTGTCTAAAGGTGTGGATTGGCAGAGAATGATGCTTATTCAGCCTTTCCCTTTTTATGTCTAAGTGAAAGTGGACCAGCTGAGGATGTTCCTAATCTCCTTCAGTAGTTCCTTGCTGTGGTTGAAAGTGCAATGCTTCCAGCTGGCGAGTGGCTTTCTGCTGGTTCAGCCTGGTAAATAGCTGATGGATCACTGCTGCCAGGAGCAGTGCTTGCCTTTGGCTTTTGCAGAGTCAGAACCACCAGTGAAATGGGAATTGTGAAGGGATGGTAAATGCAGAATTGATGTGACCGTTTTTCCTGCAGGTTTATCCAGATGGCATCCGGCACATCCGAGCAGATAAGAGAGTAAATGAATGGAAGACACCAGGGAAGAAAACCATTGTGAAATGTGCTGTGAACCAGAGACAAGTAGTGATAGCACTGACTGGAGGAGAACTGGTTTACTTTGAGATGGACCCGGTATGTGTGTTAATGTTGTGAATGAGTTTGGAAGAGTGAGGCAGAGTATGGGGCACGCCAGACATGGATCCCTGATCAGACCTGCAGAAAAGGATTCAGTAGTGAAGCATCCTTCTAGGATGGATAGATCAAAGTCCTGCATATCTAGACTGTGTCTTTCTGAGATTATTTAATGTCTGGCTAAAGTCTCTGAAGTTCATAACTGAGGCTGAAAGTTGTGTACTTGCACTCTTGCTCTTCCAGTTTTTCCAATCGTAGCTGAAATCAGGCTGTAAAGAAATAGTTTAAAAATTGCTTTATTGTTTATATAACAAATCCAAAGCGTCATATTAAAAACAAAATGTCTCATTAATAAGTCATCTGTTTCTTTCTCAGTCAGGGCAGCTGAATGAGTACACGGAGAGAAAGGAGATGTCGGCTGACGTCGTT